ACGAATCTTCCGGAAGTCAATATTACAAATCATTTCGTCCGCCCAATGATATGCCAATATTAAAGAAATGTATCCTATGGATGGCAATGCGTATCATTGATTTGTAATTATTTGTAACAGTGTAATCGAATTCATTTTTTAATAGAAATGGATTTAATTGCATGTGAGTTAGCAAACTGACTTTCTGTTAGATTGCGATAGGCTAAAGAAGAAACATTTGAGATTATAACGTAAATTTAAAAAAAAGATCAGAGACAAATGAAGTTACATCGTTTCAATTAAAATAATCAATTTAATATATATGTAATTTATAAAAATGAAAAATATAAGTAAATGAGTTCACTGCTTTGCAATTCATATCAATTGATAAACTCTTTTAAATTCACTATTATTATGATGTATCATTGCTTATTATTATTATTTATTATTATTATTACTGTCATCGTCAAATGTTTTATAATATACTATTAACTTTATATAAAATTGTAGGTATCATTTTTTGAGATAAATGAAACGAAATATTGCACTTATTTGTGTGCGTGTGGTGAGCGTAAAAACATTTTTTGTAATCATCGATATGAGAATACGAACGCAATGATAAACAAGTAGTATTACGATTGTATACCAGTGTGACATGTGACTGCGATTGACAAGATTTTTATGCATTCCATAAAGATAATAACTACAACAATAATAAAAAGAAAGCGTGAGCGTTCTTGTACGGCATTGTTCGGAACTCATACTTTTCATGAGGCAATGCAATATGAAACCAAATATCTGTATTTTTCAATATCTTCCAGTATTAGAAATAGCGATGTTCTCAGCATTGTTCATAGAATGTTTCTGTTACGAGTTGTTATACGAGCAAAGGTAATTAATAGCTCACGAAATCGTGGGAGATTTACTCTGAAAAATTCCGCGCTTTCCATTCACTTAAGGTATTACACGAAGAAAATGTGATGAATAATCCAAGTGCAAATCTAATGGGTTGTAATGATTGATCTTGATACTTTATATCAAGAAGACATTTCATCCTGCAACAATACATTAGCAACATTCAAATATTCATATGAGCTTGCAGCTATTCACGAAATAGATTCAACTTATAGTGCAGATTTAAACTTTGGATCCCGATTCTTTGTGAATCGTGAATAACCGTATTGTCTTGTAAGCTGTGGAAAGCACCTATCAAAGCACAAGAGATCGACCAATTGATCACGAACGGCAAGTCCGTCACTTTTATACGACTTATCGAGCGCTTTGTCATTGCCGATCGTACATATCATCTCACAAGGACCATGCATTTCGCGAAGACATTTACGAGGATACTCAAGCAATAGCACGAAGCATCGATCAAGGGCTGGACCAGACTTCTTAATGATCAATGAGCTCTAATAGTACCCAATGTAGTGCAAACATATTTTTTAATGACTATTTTCAATACGCTAGTAGATGAAGAAATAGGAGAATTTTCGTAGAAAAAAAAAGAAAGAACTTAAATTTGGAAAGATTTATTCTGTCTCTCCTGTTTGTAGTCCTGTATAGTCCGATAACGCTATCCTCGATTCTGTTTTGAAGTAGGTATTTAAACGCTAGGATCACATATTTTTCTCAATGCAAATGCTTCGGCATGACACTTTCTTCCATATTCGTTCATGCGCGCGTGCGTTGTCAAGAAGTCTTCGTTACAGCATCACTTAATTTTTGAATTATTCAAGCTATTAAAGTTATATTCAAGTTAAATTTTCAATTTGAAAACATATGGCTCTCTTTGATATAATATAATATTTCTAGTTTTTAGTGATTTTCGTGACTTTTTCTTGTTACTTACTAAAACTTACCCATAACACAGTCTTCTGAGGAACGTCCTTAAGACTATTACGTTTAAAGAACGTTCTACGTCCTAAATAAGGACGGCTCCAGGCCTCAGGATGTTTTTCGTAGAACAGTGTTGTGTGGGTTACTTATTGCTCTAATTCTTCGGTAAAAAATTTTTCATGCATAAACATATATTACAATTAATGTATTAATTAGTCTTTACAGTTTGCTTAAGAGAACAATTTTACAAATTATCTACATTGAAAAAAAATTTTTTTATATGTAAATTTTAGTACCTGACTCTTATATATCTTTATTATTTGACATTATTACATTGAAAGAATCAAGTATTAAATCAAGTACTTTATTCAGTATATATTTTCAAGAACGATAATTGATTAACTCTCTTGCGAGCAGCATTCATAATTTATTAGGCATTCAACGGAGATTTCTGATAGCGTTAGCTCGCGTATATACAATCGATACATTATTGATCGCGCCGTTGCAATCGCCACTTATACAATTTTTAAAAACTGCACACAACAATGGTAGTAGCACAAAGAAAAAACCTATCTTTTGATAATTGCACCATGAATGGCGTATATTGCTGCGGCGTAATCGCGATGACCATCATAGAAAATAGTTAATCGTTGACGATGAGCATGCATTTCGAAATTATTTTTCCAGATACAGTATTTTTACATGTTCTCTGTTTCAGATTAAATAGAACATTTATAGCGTTTCTGAATTACAGAGAAAGAAAAAGAATTGATGAAAAAATTAAATAGTCACATTTGTACTATTTCTAATCTTTATGTTTTCCTTTAGAAAAAGAAAAAAATCATGTCTTATTTTATTCTTAGCTTAAAAAGTTCTGTATTTATATAATTTTGCACCTATGTTCACAAAAGCTTTGCAGGGATGCCTGCTCTATTCTCAACGATATTTTTGCTTTGTTATACTTGCGTGCGATTAAAATCATAGTCGACATCGACGTGCGCGAGAAAAAAAGCGCAGCGACGAGAGACAAAAAGCTGCCTCTCGCAGAAATATTTTTTTACCGTCAGCGATCGTACTCTAATTCGTTTTAGATCCGGCTAGAACCTAGAGGTAGGTGTGACCGTAATGCAGTCAAGGAAGGCTCCGCACCGGAGGCGTTTCGGAAGCAAGGAGCAAGATCTCTATTGCTATATGACACACAGTCCTAAATCGCTTATACCTTATCCTGTTAGCAAAACAGATACCAATTATGATATTGTGTAAATTTCTAAATTAATTAACAATGAATATATTCTCACCTTTATTTGTTATATACTGATCTTTATAAGTAAGAGATAACATTTAAATTTTGAATTCATGTTTTTTCATCTTTTTTTTATTTGAATTTCTCATAGAAACAATGGTATAACGTTCTATTCTATGTCTACAGGATTTCCATTTATTTAAGAGAGAAAAAATGAAATATATATACAAAATCAAATATAATAACCCTGATGAGAATAAAAATCGGAGCATAAATTGAATATAAGGCGAGAATAACAGAAATACAAACGAAGCTTCTAGGGGGCGACAACTGAAATAATAATGTTTCAATTTTCGTTCCCTAGAAGCTTCGTTTATGCTTCTGTTACTCTCCCCTTATATTTGACTAATGCTCCGATTTTTCACTAGGAAAAATCAGAATAAGTAATTTAAAAAAAACATAGAATCCTTAATTAATACTTTATGTAATATTTGTACAATCGTCTGCACGGGATTAAGGTAACAAAGTAAATGACACCAAGGGCCGAGAGAGAAATTGGCTGATCGAAATCCTTTTTTTCTTATTATGTAATCATTGATCGCACGAAATCCTTGGTTCCACCTCTGCAAGAGCATTAAAGAAAGAGCCGGTCAGAGCCCTCCAAAGAGTCGCGTCCCAGGAACGTGTATGTATAACCACGAGAGCGCTTAATCGATGTGTCATTATATCGACGGCTCCTCCGAAACACTTGTAAATAATGAAAAATCGCGTTGAATGAAGAGACCCGCGAAAATGCGAGTATGTGTGTGTGCATGTATGAGTGCGAGCGAGACGGACACATATACAGCGAATGTGTACGAATAATTGTATAAAGACTGATTAGATTAGCCTCGGTATTTATTCGAATTTAATGATTAAATGCTACCGCTTTGCGCGCGTCCTAAGAAAAAAAATATTCACGGAGCACGATGCCAAAGGTATTCCCTGATGAACTTCGTTTTTCCGTCAGAGTATCGGTATATCGATACTCGACGACGTCTCGTTGATTACAATCGAAAGGGATTTCCTTTCCATTGTTACAATTTGTTTGCCTGCTCCGAAGCGAGAATTCGACTTCGCGCAATTTTTTCCAACTCTCGAAAAATCTATGCTGGCCTAAAATTTTGGGGAACATTCTTTTCCCTCCGCAAAATTTTCGCTTTGTATCACTACGTCGTTCAGTTTCACATGTATTTCGAATACGACCTCGATAAAGTAGTAATTATGTAACTTTTTCCTTAGGGCGGAAATGTAAAGTGAAACATTTTTCCATTACCTTCGATGATAAAAATTTTTATTTTTCATATTTCCGCCTTAGGGAAAAAATTACATAATCGTTACTCAGGCCGGTATTCATAGTAGAATCTTATTTCAAGACCATCTTAAGTAATATCTTAAGTCGCTAATGCGGCCCTCTGATTGGTTCATGATATTCTAAGACTGTACTTAAGACGGCCTTAAATATAAGATCCGACTATGAATACCGGCCTCAGATTTGGAAATAAAAGAGTGAAGGCTATAGGACGATACATGGAAATATGCAACACGGTTCGAACGAATCTGTTATTCCTTACGCACGCTTTAATTCTGACACTTTAGTAATTGACGATACGTTTTGAAACATCGTGCTCGAATGAACGCAGCAAAGGCAGAGAGAAGAATGACACGCGCGATTATTAACAGCGACATTATTATCGTCACAACGTATCAATATTATTCAATGCATCGTATAAACCAGTAAACTAAATGTAAACTTTGTATATTCATTTACTAAGAGAATAAAAGTAAATTATTCGACGAACTGTTTGGTACGCTCAATTCTCCTCGATTTCCCCGGTTTAATTTTGAAAACAGGAATTAAAAAGATCTGAAAAAAATTAATTTTATTTTCTGTATGACATATTTATTGGCAAATAGCAAATATTTTCATCAATAAATCACAATAATTATGTTATAAAATGTTGTAATTATTATCTTATTTAATATTCATAAATTTTCCATTAGTGCCCGTGCTCTTTTCAATTCTGAAAAATAAAAAAATATTAATATCTTTTATTATAAAATATATAACATCCGCGCGCGTATGTGTGTGTTATGAAGTTGAAAATTCGTAATATAATACATTTCTTGAAACAAAGTAATCTCGATAAAAGTTTTACTAGCCACTTCTATAAATTTTTAGAATTTACCTTTCAATAAAACTTGTACATTATCTTTGGAGATATTTATAGTGGAGTCTTCCTCTTTTCCGTCTATTTTCTTCAATTTTAATGTCACAGCGGAAACAGGCGACGAGCTATCGCAAGGTAGTACTTCGATGGAGGACAAGCGGCTAACTACGAATGTAAGTTAGAAGTAAATTGTTGCATAAACCAAAACATTTGAACCGCATAATCGAGAAACATAAATAATCCATAATTAAAATACAAATCCATAATTTTTACATACTTTGACGAACTAAGATTTTTTGGCAAGTTAAATTTGTGTAATATTAACCTACTTTTCAATTCAGTCCTATAAAAATATAGAGCTTGCACCTCTTAAAGATTGAGATGAAAGAACAGCCATGATCTGAGGACAGTGATCTGTGTGAAGTCTTGCTACAGCTGTGCTATGTTCTCGCGGAAGCCCCAATTGTTGCAGTTCGCTGCTCAAATCAGCTGCGGAAACGCCATATCGGACGGAAGATGTGAATATCAATTCGAGGGCAGCTACCATTGCCTTTGCATCACTTACATCTAAATAAAATAAATCTCAACATTTTCTTTTCTTTTACCAATTATTTATCACACATTTTATTTGGTTATTGGATTATAATACGAAGTTACGCACCAAGTTTGGCGTCTTGTGTGATTTTTTTAATTTTTTCTTCCTAAAAAATTTAATATAATACAATTAAGGATAATTGTTATATATTTGATATATAAAATTTGTAGCATATAATTTAAATACTTCAACGTTTATTTTATTTTATATTATACAACTGATGCCCATTTCCAATATAGATTAACTTTAATCTCGGTTCAACTTACTCTTCGTCTTTTTCTAATCTTTAGAACTAGAAAAAGACAAAGAGTAAGTTGAACCGAGATTAAAGATGATTTATGTTGGTGGAAACGGACCTGATTAGTATAAATTTATATCTAAATTAAAGAATATTCGATTTAATTAGAAAAAAAATATTAGCATATTGCCACAAGTTTTAAAATAATGACTTTTATTTGAAATCATTTCTTTTTATTGGTTTTTGTGTTGTAATGTTCGCAATAAAAATAAATAATTTTAAATCGAAAATTTTAAACAATTTTTAATAAAATCACGATATTACTTACATCAAGTTCTCCTTCGGTCAAGTATTTAGCCACTGCTTGACCTAGCATTTTCATTTTAATTGAAGTCTAGAAATAAAATATTTTGTATGTATTTTTCCAAAAAGTATCTCATGAGGAGAGGGCATGACGTTGGAGTAATCGATTTTAATCAAATTTGATGAGAATGTAGTACAATTTTAAAAATCAACGTGTGGTATGAGTAAAACAGTACCAAAAAAATGAGCCAACATCATCCCCTATTAGTATCTTGTCTTGATATACAGGGTGTCCACGTATATGTGCCATCCGTTTTTATCTCGTAAACTGACAGAGACAAACTAATAAATTTAATATCAAATTAAATGATTCTAAATAAATTCTATTGTAACCACAATGATCACGCAAACAATTATTCATATTTTTATGCGTCTGACCGTGGGTGTAGTTTTTTATCATTACTTTCATCTTTATTTTTTAATTATATATTTATTCATGCCTCTATAACGTAAGTTTCACATGTATGTTACAACTTATTATATCATTTTAGCTAATTATGCGGCTGATGGAAACTAATAAGTTTAGTTTTTATTACAAATCTTATATTTTAATATATTAATTTTAATTCCAACTCTAATTTTAAGTTATACACTAACTTTTTTCTGATTCTATTGTATTTTAATATAACATAATTACGATAATAAGTATTGTGTAGGAAAAATATAGAAATATACCCCTCAGAGAGAAAAAAAAATTGAGCAATATGCAATACCATTCGTGAAAGTGTGTTGATTTCCGCCAGCAACCAGTCTGGACAATCGCCGTCGCCGAGAAATCTAAATCGCTGGTATAGATAGGTTTGAAAATTTCTAGATTAAATAATATATGTGTTTAATAGTTTATTAATAATTAAATTTCAAATTTGTAATGAATATATACAAAAATTTGAGTAATAATCAGAAAACATGTAAATTTATGTATTTACAGTTTAAAAGCTTACACAGTAAAAAATCGTGCGTCCATATGTAGAATTTTTCTTGTGTTACCACATTTTGATTATTACTTCAATGTAAAATAAACATACAACTGATATGTTATTATTTTTGTAACATTTTGATGTGTTAGATTCATGTCACCTTTCTAACTTAACAATTGCGTACGTCAATTAAAAATGGAATATTATTTTGAGTGTTTTGAACACAATTATTTCAATTAATCTATATATCTCAAAGTCAATTTAACATCTAAGAATTTTTTCATTCACATTATATACGAACAAAAATGTTTTATTAACATTTTCTTA